TGGTTCTTGAACCTTCTGCAAAGAGGCGACCGGAGCAGCAGTGGAGAGGTGTGATGTACCAGTCCGACTATGATGACGTTAAATCAGGCAGACCTTTGTCTGATGCAGTCATCGACCAGGCTACACATGTCATCAGAAGTCAGCTGAAATGGCATGGGCCAGGTCTGGAGGATGTGCTTCGTGGACATTTCATGAATTTCAGGCAGGACACTACGTCATACAATGGCTGCCATATTGATGCTCCGCACATCCAGATCCATCACACCGGATGTTTTCACTGGGTCACTTCGTCGCGAAAGCTTCCCGACAAGCAGGTAACGCTGTACGACAGTATGGGTCCGAGTACTGTTCCTCCCCATCTGGAAAACCAGCTTGCCTGCATCTATGGTGACCCAAGTGACGAGAGCTTTAGCGTGGCCCTGCCATCAGTGCAGCGGCAAATTGGCTCAGCCGATTGCGGTCTGTTTGCCATAGCCTTTGCCGTTGAGCTGGCGCTTGGAAAGGATCCATCAGTGGCGTGCTTCAATCAGAAGAAGATGCGAGACCATCTATTGTCTTGCATTGGAAATTATAGATTCACGGCATTTCCAAAGCGTCGGCGGAATGGTGTACCCTTCACTGACTCTGCCCGTCCTGTGAAGGTGGACACAACGTTTTGCTTTTGTGCAATGCCTCCGCCGTTCGATGCCCTCATCGAGTGCAATGTGTGCTTTGACATGTATCATGAAAGCTGTGCCCTTGGAGAATTCCGTGATAATGCATATCGGAGGAACAATTTCGAGTGCTACAAGTGCCGGAATGTCGATCCTCCGTTAGTTCTCACCAGACCAGCAAAGTATGGTAACCGACTGGTTGCGCTACGGTCGGACGGTCGTCGGTGAGCGGATCTGATGAGCAGACACTTTCAAAGGTATGGGTATGGTGCAGTGGGTGTGGGGTTGAGCTCCCACTCCTTTGTAAATGCTGCGTTACCGGCTGATTTCAGCACCCATGCAAAGTCCCACCAACTCCCTCCACGGAGGGGAAAGTGTAAACAATGTTGGGGGTCTGAACGGCGGGTAACTGGCGCCGAAAAACCAGGCTCTGGGTACAATTGGTGGGTACCTCCTCGTGGTTGTACCTGGTAACCAGTGTAGCACGCCATAGAAGTCTTGAATGCATCTATCGTGTGTTACATTGGGCTAAATCCCACCACTTTCTTAGGCTTTTAGACAGTGATGTGTATTTTTACTTCTTCATGTTAGTAATTTTACAATTGACATTATGATTGTTCACGAGGACCTAGCATTTGCTTTGTTCATACTGTAGTTACAGTATACGCTTATCAGGTGTGTGTATGGTGTGCTTCTGTGTCTTCTGACTGTAACATTATTTTAACTCTGAAAGAACAGATTTGATCCTTTATGACTCCTTCATTTTCGACACATTCTCTGTACTGGATACATTGATGCAATTGTTCTATGTAAAATAGAAGAAAACACTAGGGAACGAGTTATGAAGCAATAATTATCCACGACAGTAACAAGATAATAGGCAGAAAGTGCGATAATAGGGCACGCAACTGACAGGCTACTGAGACATTCAGTGTTGTGCCCTGTTAGCACACTTTCTGACTGCTTATTATCTTGTTACAGCCATGGATAGTTGCTTCATCACTCGTTCCGTAGTGTTTATTTTACATTTGTATCCGAGCAATTATTGTACATTTCCTTTATATTTAAACTCGGATACTGAGCCAGTAATACTTGAAATGTAAAAAAGAGAAGAAATACATGAGAACGAGTTATGCAGCAACTATCCACAACTATAATATTCTTATTCTTTGTTTAACCCTTAGCGGTGCATCAGTCATTAACGACTGATATTGTGTACGTACCGTAAATAAACTGGTGTCTTTCGTTATTGGTAAAGTACGGTTTTCTACTTCTATACGTTTGAATGGCGTTGTGACATGCATAGTCATGTATATCTGGTGTGGATGGGTGTTCATTGGGTGGTATACTGTACGTTCACATTTGACCAATTTAGCCCAATAATCAATGGAAGCCTTTCCAGATTCATCACATTGTATAGAGCTAATAACAACTACTAGTAGCTTTTATTTCTTTCGAAAATTATTTGTCGCATGGTATGCCATAGGATAGATCAATGTTCTTCTCAATGATTAGGCTTACGAATGATAGGAAGATCGTGCACACACACGCCTCACACCTTTGGAAAGCCCCAACCAAGTGCGTGTGAACATCCCCGGTTGGGTGGTATCAAGAGTACATAATAACTGGTTATGTACTCTTGCTGGTATACATGTACGTTCACGTTTGACCAATTTAGTCCAATAATCAATGGAAGACAATCGCCTTTCCAGATTCATCACATTGTATAGAGCTAATAACAACTACTAGTAGCTATTAGGCGAGGCAGTGATTCTTGTTAATGTGCGCAAGCTCCCACTGCAGCCACTTCATTATAATTGTAAATGGAAAACCTTACACACACACACACCATCTTCAATCCAAGTGGTCTTTTCGCTGCAAATTACAATAATTCTCAATCAAATTTTCGGCCAGGAGCCATCATCAGGATTGAGGAGAGAAACAAGTGAGGTGGACCTATAACAGGCAACACAAAGTGGAACGAAACTACACCATAAATGATAAAGTTGCACCATCCTTTCGGCATATACCCATGCACATGCCAAAACACTGAGACACACACTCATACTCACACTCGCACCAACACTCACACAAGCTCACACTCCAAATCACACCCGCACACGTGTAACTGAAGACACACACAAAAATATCAATGTGCCTGAAAACAAGGAGTGAATAGTGGTGGGACTATGACAAAAAAAAAGGAGATGAGATTCCGTCGCCAAACTGCACTTACACTACAACATTGTGCTGAACTACCGGTATATAACAATGGCGTGAACAAGCACACATGACAACAGGACAGGACAGTGGCAACAGAAACAATGATCATCATCCAAATTTTCACATTGTCAATTGTCAAGCAACACCCAACCACGATCACGGTTCACCTTAGGATGGCGTCTGGAGATGTGGATTGTCTCCCTTATCCGGCGGTTCACGTATGACACTTCCATTGCGAGTATGGATGGTGATGTGAAGGGAATGAATGGCGCTGTGGATGGATGTTGTAGTGGTTGGTGCAATGCGCAGTGCTCTCCCCAGGGCTTCTGCGGTGCACAGACTCTCGCTTCTCGGTAATGTTCCTGGACTCGCTCCCTGACACACTCCGTCTCTCCCACATACTCCTCTCCACACAGTAATTCTTGTGTCGGGATAAGTCATTCGGACAGCGAAAGTCACAGCTGCAGACACACACCCTCACCCACACACAAAGCCGGTGGCGTGATTACAAAGCTATGCATGTGTTGCCGACAAAGTTACGAAGGTAGAACTTGTTCTCATGAGGGAGCGGGTCCCAGTACAGGCAATCTCTAGCTTCCTGGCCAGACATAGACACAGCCAAGATGTTAGAGTATGGTGCAGCTCCACTACTGCACTAGCTCCACTAAGTTCTTCATGCATGCATGACTTGAGGAGTTCTTCACGTAGGTGTACTGCATGGATGGCTTGATAAGTGCTGACGGTGATTCACATCCAGATCTCCATAATCTCCATACTTCAGCTAGCCATGTACTGAAGTACTAGCTGTACAGGTTAATATCTCACAAATATCTGTATTGATTCTCTATTGTATAAGCGATACGAACGCTGTCGATGATTTGAATCTACAAAATAATCAAATCGAGATGTCCATCAATGTTCAAGTAGCCATGTACTGAAGTACCAGCTGTACAGGTTCTCACAAATCCTGCTAAATGTCTCCAAGCCAAGTGCCAGCAGTACAGCTACTGAAAATAATAATTGTAAGGTCTGAGAGGAAAGCCATAAAATAAGAATTCTCACAAACTCTCATAAATATCTCGGCCATCGCGAGTAATTCTCTACAAAGGCAATGGAAAGCAACAGTCAGAAACTCTCATAAACACCTCGGCCATCGCGAGTGATTCTCTACAAAGGCAATGGAAAGCAACAGTCACAAAAGTCTTCGAATAGTTTCTACTGGAGCAGTCAAGGATGAGCCTGGAACCGTTTTCGCGGATGATCCCATGTACAGTTGTATTGCTGCAGTCCGCGAAAACGGTTCCACGCCACTGTACTGTACTGTCTGTAGTCTAGACAGTGGTCGCGTTGCCTGGAACCGTTTTCGCGGATGGTCCAACACCAGAAAATAATCCCTGAAACCGTCTTCGCGGCTAGCCCGGCTAGTCATACATCAGAAATTAGTGGGCTGTGGATTCCAGGGGGTTACCGGTGTATGCCTGGAACCATTTTCGCGGAGGAACCGTTTTCGCGTTTACACCGGCATTATCCGCCAAGGCCTACCAGGGAGTCGTAAAATACCGGTATTTTCTGACTCCCAGGTTTTGAGTCACAGGCTGGACGGCGTGTGCTGAGGATTACAAAAAAGTGAGCATTTTCCGAGCATTTTCGGCAAGGTTTGGGAGCATTTTCGGCAAGGTTTACGAGAATTTCCCAAAAGCATTTTCGGCAAAGTTTCGGGCATATTATTATTACACGCGGGCCCTACTTTTGTAGTTGCGGGCAATGGCATTTTTGTACACATTGTAGTCACTAGTAGTAGATCTACTCTACTAGTACTACTACTAGTCAGGTACGTAACGATTACGTAGATTAGACTGTACTAGTAGATTATGTCGACACTGCCTGTCGGCATGACAGCCTGACAGGTGCACGGTTTGCGCGGCAACTTTGAAATCATCCACAGAATAAAATATCGCCTTTTTTTCTTCGGTCGTTCAAGCTAGCTGCACGTGACACAGGCCGGGGCCGTAAGCAAATCATCAGACAACAGTCAACACCCGTCTTATCAGTTATCTATCTGTGTAGACTGAAGCCTGTGACAGTGCAGTGTGAGTGAAGGACGTAGAGCCTGTCCGAAGCCTA